CCCCTCAGCATACAGTCCCATGAACCTAGTGAATCTAGTGTGACAATCAGTTTCGGCTTGTTCCTCTACACTTGGTATAAACGGTTGAGTCGATGGCACAAACAGGGAGCGAGACCCAAAGGCACACGAGACATCAGATTGTCACGAGTTTCTCGTATTGCTGTCGTAGCATCCTCTAACCCAGATACGGCTATGACAAGGCTTGTGAATACTGGTATTCTACCACCCCCTATACATCTTGAGAACAGATTTGAAGCATTAATGAATGCGGGTGAGGAATCCCCAAATGTGATTAAACATGGATCGGATCAGCCAGCAGCTAACATCACTACTAACAGACGCTCAAGGTCGAGCAGACAGCGGCTTTCAGCTCAGAGCGCAGCCGAGCCCAGGACTCTGATAGTGGGCGACTCCATTATCAGAAACATCATTACCAGGACTACAACTACATGCTGCCTTCCTCAAGCAACAGTTTCTGATGAGAAGAAGGAACTTCTGAAAATTCTAATGAAGCACAAGGCTGCAAATCGAATCATCATCCATGTGGGGAAGAATGATATTCGGAAAGAGCAAGTCAGAACTCCTTAAGATGGACTTCAGTGAACTCTTTGAAACACTTCGAAGACTTAAAGTTCAGTCGTTCATCAGTGGGCCACTCCCAGCAAGAGGAACTAATATGTTTTCACGGTTGCTTGGGCTGAACACATGGCTACAAAGAATCTGCAGCTTAAAAGGAGTCAATTTCATCGATAACTTCAATCTTTTCTGGGGCCATAGACAACTGTTTAAACTGGATGGCCTCCACCTAAACAAACTTGGTGCAAGAGTGCTAAAGGACAACATCTACTTCTCCATCCGTCATCCTTCAGTAGTGTGTGCCAAACTACTCAACCTGAATGGCACACACACACCTGGACAGAATATGAGCGATGACAGGACTTCATATCAGCTTCCGAGTCATCATGTGGTTGACACATCCCACAAGGACACTGATAACACCACACAGCCACAACAAGCACTGCTCATGGACACCATCACGGCTGAGCCCCTCCCACTGCCAGCAGCTTACATTCCGGAGAAGGGAAAACACAGCTGCCCACATTCAAACAGAAGAGAAAGAAAATGCCTCCTGTTGAATCTACTTGTTGCATGAACTACTGCAAACTTCTACAAAGGATTGCGGTTCTTGAAACAAAGTTACTTGCTGGACTTCCAAAACAGGCAGAACACACAGCAGACCATCCTCAGCATACAGCCGGTGAGTCCCATGAATCTAGTGAATCTCAACAGTTTATACCAAGTGTAGAGGAACAAGCCGAAACTGCTCGTCACACTAATCGATGGCACAAACAGGGAGCGAGACCCAAAGGCACACGAGACATCAGATTGTCACGAGTTTCTCGTATTGCTGTCGTAGCATCCTCTAACCCAGATACGGCTATGACAAGGCTTGTGAATACTGGTATTCTACCACCCCCTATACATCTTGAGAACAGATTTGAAGCATTAATGAATGCGGGTGAGGAATCCCCAAATGTGATTAAACATGGATCGGATCAGCCAGCAGCTAACATCGCTACTAACAGGCGAGCAAGGTCGAGCAGACAGCGGCTTTCAGCTCAGAGCGCAGCCGAGCCCAGGACTCTGATAGTGGGCGACTCCATTATCAGAAACATCAGTAGCAGAAATTCAGCAACTTTCTGCTTTCCTCAAGCAACAGTTTCTGATTTGAACAAGGAACTTTGGAAAATTCTAATGAAGCACAAGACTGCAAATCGAATCATCATCCATGTGGGGAAGAATGA